CTGGCAGACGCGGGCTGCGCTCGGCTTCTCTCTGGATGACCCCTGGGAAGGTCCTGGCCTTACCGAGGCAGTGGCCAAGAGCTGGGCTGCCCTCAGGCCCTTTGCTGCTCTGAAATGGAGACAGGGAAATGCTGAAAGGGAGGAGAGAGAAGGCAGGGGGCACATGGCCTCCTCCCAGCAGCACGGTGGGACTGGAGGAAGACTGTGCCGGAGGAAGGCTGCTGAGCCTACCCAGGGCCAGGCACCAGGACATGCGCCGTGAGGAAGGATCGGGGCCGCCAGGCGTTCCCTCAGGGAAGACAGGGGGATGGTGCAGAGGAATCCCTGCGGAGGCCTCGGGGTCACGGTCCCATAGGGGAGCCCCCTCCCCACCAGCCTGCCTGGATCCAGCTCCAGGGGCCTCGGGGAGGGGAGCAGGGATGAAGGCAGGGCTGTAGCTAGCTCAGAGAGGCTCTGCTTGCCTCCACTGGGAGCGGGTGCTGGCAGCAATTCTCTCGTCACAGCTAAGGGCTGGTCCCCGGGGACAGCAAGTGGTGTCTTGGGCTCGGGCAGCCCAAAGGTACCAGGTGATATCTGGAGGAGGCCTCACTTCCAGCTCAGCTGTAAAAAACAGGTTAGGAAAAACTCGTTGCCCAAACGCGTATGCAGTGAGCCCCAAGGAGGCAGGGGCATTTGATGGGTGTCTCCTCGACCTGCTCCCCCCTCTCCTCCCAGCCTGGCCAGGCCCAGCATCATCCCATGCCTCCCCTGCTCCCTCCGTCTCTTCCCTGCCTGCTCCCCGACAGGACTCACCTCGTGGCCTCTCCCAGTCGTGGCAGCTCGCAGTGACTCAGGGAGAGAGGAGCAGGCTGAGAAATCAGTAAGTCACCTGGCTAGCGGGCAGGGTGGGTTGGGGACGCCAGTAGCCTCATCTCCTCCAGGGGCTGTGGGCACAGCACCCAGCAAGGGGACCCCTTGGCATGCTCTCCCATCACCTCTCTCTCTCACCTGCCAATCCAGCTGTCTTTCCCCACTTGAGAACAGGCAAACCCCAAAAGTTAAAGGGACGGGAGAAGCGGGCTGCGTGGGGCTGAAGCTCCAGTGCTCCCAGTGTGAGCAAACCAGCCAGCCTACCGAGCGGGGAGGCGCGATGGGAGAAGCAACGCTGCCTAGCAGAGCCACCACGCTTCGGAGCAGGGCACGTGTGCGTGTGATGGTGGGTCTCGGCACAGGACGGTGGTTAGCGTTAGATATATGGCTATATAGAGATAACACAGAGAGAGGTTTCACTTGTTCCAAATGGTTCAGCTTCTCTTTCCAAGGGCTGCGTTCTGGCAGGGGAGGCAGGTTTGCTGGGGTACTCGGTGTGTGCGTGCGTGCGTGCGTGGGCGTGCTTTTCCTTTCACAGGGACACGAAGTCCACGGCTTGCAGGAGAGGCAGGGAAAGGAGAAGCAGCAGGAGCCACGAAGTGTTCTGGATCAAGAGGCTGAAGCCGGCGCATTTCTCCAGTTTGTCTGCGAGGAACGGGGAATGGGGAGGGAGAGAAAATCCGCAATGAAATCCCTTGGGAACAGGGAATAAGGCTGGGGGTTACAGGGGGTACTGGGACTCAGCTTCTTGCCTTTTCTCTGCCACAGAAATGCAGCAAGTCCCGTCCTGGTCTCTTGCCTGTTGCCCCTCCCACCTCGTGCCCATGTAGCGGCCAAGCTTTTGGGGGCTCAGAGAGCCCGGGAAGCATAACCCTGCCTGTGCCTGACCGAGGGGACGAGGGGATGGGCAGCAGGTACGACGAAGGGCTCTCAAACTGGAGGACTGCTCCCGTGGGATGTAAGTGTGGAAAATCCCCACCGCATTCCCGCTCTGGACCACACACCTCTTCAGTCCTTCACCAGCAGACTTGTCCCCTCTGCTGGGACTGACCATGGGAGGACACCTGGGCAATGTGCCCGAGGCGCGGCCCGAGAGAGGCAGGGGTAGGTAGTTGGAGGTGGGGCAGAGTGAGGCCATCTGTGGGGCTGACTGCTCTGCTTGCAGTAGGAAGGCAATGTAAGGGCCGGGAAACATTTCTGGGGCTCAGGGAGGGTTTGGGTACGCCACAGGGGGTCGTGGTTTTCTCTGCTGGCCCTGCCGAGCCAAGGAGCAGGTGGGAAGGAGGGACCGAGGCCAGGCACCCCTGCCCATCTTACCTTTGATGACAGTAATGTTCTTTATCTGGTTGCCGGTGTAGTCGTTGGTGGCCTTCAGCTCGCACATGTAGACGCCCTCATCGCTGGTGGTGAAGCTCTGCAGGTAGAGGCACACCAGGTTCTTGTGCATGGTGACGTTGGCTCGGCTCCGGTAGACATTCTCAGAGACGCTGATGGTGCTGTGGATGACGTGCTTCCTGTTGTCCTTGGTGATGCTGAACTCATAGGTCAGGGGGTTGCTGGTTTTGTTCTCATAACGGCAGTCCACCCGGAGGCTCTGGCCCAGCAGGCAGGCGCTCAGGTCCTTGATCATCTGGCAGTGGGCGGCCTGGAGGACTGGGAGAAGCAAGCAGGGGTTGGACAGGGAACAGCGAGCACTGGAGGTGCCCGTGCAGACTCCTGGCCCTCGCCTAGCCGCTCTGGGCCGAGCTCACTGGAGAGCAGGGAGGGGATGCGCGTCCGCCAGCCGTACCTGTCAGTATGACAGTCCTTCCCTGTCAGTATGACAGCGATGCTGACGGCGGGGTTCATCTCTCCGCTGGGGTGCCTGACGGTGGCTGTCACCGAGAGGGGAGCCTGGGCAGGGAGAGAGAGGCGGTTAGCCAGGCCACTGCCCCGGCACGCGGGCGTGGGCACTCGGTGGTGCAGGCATCGGCACACATGGCACAGGTAGGCAGGCTGCCTCGCCTCGCACAAATGACGCTCTGTAGCCGGCTCCTCATCGTGATGTCTGATTCGCCGCACAGGGACCAGCTGGCCCTGCGGCCAGCTCGCGAATAAGGCACCGCGTGTCCGGGCAGCATCACCTTTCCGTATCCCCTGGCAATGCCAGCCACGCGCTCTTT